ACCGTGAGACCGATCGACATTGTGCTTCGGGTGAGAGTTAAGTTTAGCGCCAAGGATAATCTGCGGGTTAGGGTTTCTGTTGGGGTAAGTTTTTGGACACAGGAATATCTAACCTTTGTGTAATTTTGCACAAGGTCGCCTGCACTACCAAGAGGTTCCTATTCCTGCGTGTAACCGGTTAACCTATTACTACCGCCCCCTTCTGACCTGCTTGCACTCTCTGGGCGTCATTTCCACGAACTCTGTCTCCACAACTTTCAGGACACGCAGTTCTTTCAAAATATTCAAAAGACAATTTGGCGAGCATACGTAGGCTGTCGATAAATTCTCATCAGGCCTAAACAGTTATATTTCTGTCGAAATGATTAAAAGGGAAATGCGGGCAAGCAGAAGTTATTCGGTGTCTGGGGTTGGGGGGGAGTCTGGGTGGGTGAGGCATAAAACGAAATTGCCGTCATTGTCAGGGGATAAAGGGGATGGTGGGCACTGGGACGGGTAATTATACGCAGGTGGCTGGCATGGTGGCTTTGGCCCATGGTAACTGTGGGGCCTGTAAGAAGTCCTTCTGTGCGCGTATAACTGGTTTGTATAGCCTGATTGCAGTCGCCTCTGCTGTTGCCATCAGACGCTGTCCAACAGCTTGACGCTTGACGGGACCCTGTTAATCACTCGGAATGCCTGTCCGGCATCTACACCGTGATCTATGTCCACCATGTGGGCGAGGATACAGCTGTTCACGTTCCATTATTTGGCCCTTTCACAACCATGCTGGAAGGTGTTCTCTTATTCTTTTGGACAAACGCCGGCTCGTGCGACCAATATATTCTGCCCCAAGAGAGCAGGTGAAGGAGTACATACACATAGAGGTGGTCTGGGCTGGAAATTGGTCCTTGCCCTCTCCGTGTAGGATGGGACTAGTGGAGAAGAGTACACGAGCGTCAGCTGCTGGAAAGGTGCGTGATACAGCTTGAGTTAGGCGTCTTCTTGGAAGTTCACTCGGCGCGTCCCCTTGAAACGGGACCCTGATGAAAAACTTCTTGTTTCCTACCGTCAGCATCGGGGACTTTGGTGGTCTTTCGGTCATGAACTTGGCAATGAATCGATCGGGGTACATGTTATGGTGAAGGAGATTTTCGACAATTTTAAGTTCTTCCCCAATGCTATCAGCCGAGCAGGTACTCCTTGCTCTTTGTGTTAAACAACGGACCAAATTGCGCTTCATGTTTAACGGTACGAAACTCCCAAAATTGGTGTATGGCCCGGACCACTTTCTCTTACGATAGACCCTAAGTCAAATGCTACCTATCAGGTCTTCTAGTTAAAAGTACATCTAGAAAGGGGAGCGATCCGGACTGCTCTTCTTCCAGAGTAAATTTGATTGATAGGTGCACCTGATTAATATCATCCAGTAGGGCTGAAAGGTCGTTTTGTTGAGGCGCAATCACGAATATACCATCCACGTAGCGTCCATAGTATCTCAAACTATTGATCAAAATATTACTGACCGGAGACTAGATGTCACCCAGTATTATCGCAGATCTCTAAAAGCGTCTGTAAAAAAAGACTTCTCAATGACTACAAAGTTCTGCTTGTACGTCACATTCGTCTGTTTAAGTCTTTACTACCGTGTACGCCAGACTGTGCGCGTGAAGTTTTGCCAACTATCGTCCGAAGACAGCCTACACATGGATTTGGGAAGGTTTCATTGAGAGTTAAACGATCCGATTTGATTTGAGGAACTCAAGAGTATATTTAAAGCTGATGAGTTTATGCGCGTTTGCGGTAGCCCTCCCACAATTCCAACTCCACTTCCCCTAATTCGACGTGAACAGCTCATTGATGAGAAAACCTCGAGGGAGACAACGAATATCCTGGCCTAAACTAGCGTGTCAAGATATGCAATCGGATCTGGAAGCCCAAGTATTCAGTTTCCACCTTCGAAAATGAATGTTGGGTCGAGATCATCAGGTCTGCTGCCATAGGTATTAATTTTGGCGAGATCGGGCCCCATCACAACGCTACCAGGCAAGTTCGGGTGTCTCCATTCAAACGATCTGTATAAAAAACTGTCATTTTCCCCATAAAATCTAATCGCGAAAATACAACACGCATGCGTACCCTCCGAGGAAGAAGAGCATTCATTTGCCATAGAAGTAGAGGACTTAGAATCATCCGTGTCGCTTTCCGACCAGCTACCGGATGATGTGTCCGACGACGGCATTTCACCCATCTCTTCGTTGATTCTTCGTATAATTTCTTCAGCTTCCTTAAGTGCTTGGCGCCGTATTTTACGCCTATTAACAGGAGTAAACATTATTGTGAGAAAAATGGGAGCACGGAGAACACAAAGAAGAGTGATATACGGCAAAGACAGGCAATGGCAGCGTAGACTGGGACACGGCGTGCGCAGTGCAGCGTGAGAAAGCAAAAAGTGGCACCGGCGAGAGCCGGCGGGCTATCGGCCGCCGAGGCTAATCGATAATCAAGTGCAAGTATGCGCGGCCGCTTGCGCCCTTCGCGTCGCCGGCGCTCCCGACCCAGGAACCAATCAAATCACGAGCAGGCTAAAGAGCCACTACCCCCCTAGAGTACGTTAGCTCGCGGCGAGCTCGCTTGCTTTTAGGGCAGTAATGCGTACAAAACAAGCTTTCCTTCAAAACTGGCTCTCTGGGTGTGGATTCTGCGACTTATTTTGTGCCACGGATTTTTGCTAATAGAAGCGAAGAGCGAGTTCCAGGAAGTAGTCGCGGAGTAGAAAACATGATCGTTGGAACAAGTGCTTTATTAGCCCGACGTTCCGGATTCTGACTCGATTCCATCATCAGGGAAAGAGTGAGGCAAGGGTGGTGAATTGCCCAGGTGTCGCGATATTTATAGGATGTAGTTGCTAGGCCGCTACATGTCGGCCAGCTAAATCGCCCAAGAGCCCAGACGGATGACGAAATCCTGTAGTAAGCCTCTCGGCAGCTTGCGCGAGCGTGGGAGCCGATAATCTTGACCGGTATGCAGGCGCATAGCAACGGCATACTTAAACACCTGGCCAGTCGAGCTGCGATGCACTCGGAAACTGTTTCCTCCAATAGGCATGTAGCGACCTGACAACTAAATTCTATAAATCTTACGACACCTGAGCAATTCACTGTCCTTATCTGACTCTGTCTCTGATGACGGATTTGAGTGAGAATCCGAAATGTCAAGTTAATAAATCACTTGTTCCAGTGATCGTGTCTCCTCCTCCGTGCAAAGGAGGTTGTCGAAAACGAAAAGGAATGTTGGAACTGTAAAGTCCCATGAATATACAGTAGGTGGGCTAACACATAAAATGCCAACCGAAATTCCGAAATGCGTTTCCGTTTCGAAAAGAGTAATAAACTAGGGTTGTTAAATCAATTATTATGCAGCATAATTCTATCATAATTCAGCTACCTCAGGATGCCGGCTTTCGAACGAACTTCTTTCTGGCTGCAAGCAAGAACTATACTCTGTAAATTTGACTACTTAAATAGCATACATTTTCCTCATTGATTTTCGATGCCCTTAAAATGTCAATTATATTTCATGGAAATCATGCACAAAAATAATCATTCTTTTGTTCATTCGGTAGGAAATTGCGTTTTCTTTCAATTTTATACTCAAAGGAAGGGTATAATATGGTTTTAAAATTGTTTTTAATTGGTTTTTAATTATGAGATTTTTTAATAAATTAAAATGGCCGTTCATAAAACGTCATGACTCTGCATTTACCAGTGTTGCTTTCAAAATTAACGATATGGCTGAAATCCACTAGTAAATTCTAAGAATCCCATATTATCTTATCTGAATAACGTAGAGAAATTTACGGTTTTCCATACGCGGAAAATATACGGCTTGAAATTCGGAAACTCTGAATGCAAGTGTAACGGTAGACCGACCTCGAAATAATTCGGGGATAGGAAAATGTTTTTAAAACCGAACTAAACCCTTTCTTCGAGTAAACAATTGAAAGAAGACGTAATTTCCTACCGAATGAGAAACGGAATGAATATTTTTATGCATGTGTTCTATGAAATATAATTGACTTTCTAAGGGCATCGAAAAGCGAAAGAAAGCCTTTACGAATATGGAATTTGCATGAGGTTGGAGCGAAGTTCATTCGAAAGCCGGCATCCTGAGGTAACTGAATTACCATAGAATTATGTTGCAGGCTGACTAGTTTGACAACCCTACTTAATTAATCTTTTCGAAACTAAAACAGATTTCGGAATTTCGGTTTCATTTCATGTGTTAACCCACCTGCTGTATCTTCCAGTGCCCTGACATCCACCTAAAGTCCAATAGCCTAACCTCCTGATGGTCTGTAATTTTGCCCTCCTCCGTTTGTCTCAATTTGCCGAGATTTCGGGCGGTGTTCTGCATTCTAACAGTCGCATCATCTGCATTTGACGCCATGCTGCGGATGCGTATCGATCGATAGGCAACACGTGTTTTTGGTGAACACGTCGATGATGGAAGGGCCATTTTCAGGAGACATTTCTAGTGCGCAGCTCATACGAGCGACTATGCATCGCCCGTGCCGAAATCTAAGCAATCGCTTAGATGGTAGGAGCAAGAGCGGATCCCGGCGACGAAGGGCGAGAAGTTCATTCGTTCCGCCTTCAAAAGCCATAGTCGATCCCCTTCCGAGTCAGCCAACACACTATGATCCCAATCAGCGCGTAATTGCCCGCGTAGATCGACCTGTATTGAAGTTATACTTACACATTTTGCCCTCTGGGGAATCCAACCGGAGTTCGGAAGACGCAACTATCCAGTCTACAAGCGCTTCAGTGCAACCCAGTAGAAGTTACCTTGACAGGTCTCACTTAAAGGCACGTGCAAGAAAGCTTGGAGACAGGGTTGTTCGCCCTCAAATACAACTTCAGTCAAACCGACCGGAGCCTCTTGTTACTTTCAGTACAGGCACGCCTGCATCTGAAGACGCTCAGCTCAACGGACTTTTTGATCCTGAGAGGTGTCATGAAATGTATCTTGCGTTAGTAGACAACCGTTTGACACTCGCCGATTTTCGTCCGTTGGAGGCTCCCTTTGTGCCAGAAGTGATTAAAATGCTGGTGAATGCTATCGAGTTTGACTGCCATTCTTCTGACTGGGATCAGATATTCGCAACTTACGATAACCTGAGCGAGGTGGCAGACATGCATGCGTGTGTCCTCCTGCAGAATTGGAACCAAGAGAACCACTTAAAACAGCAAATTACAACTTTCTCCTTACCCATGAAGATAACTGTCCTGCGACGTATACTGTCGGGGTTTAAGCAGAAACCCCTTCATTTCAGTCGACGTCTGCTGATGGACATAATTCAGAGGCCGCTGTTCGATCAGTTCCTTCGGCCTAACCCAAATATGAAGTCTATCATCAAACGCGCAGTCCTTCCCTGTAATCGCACCACCATGGACACCTTGTCTTTTCTCATGCTCCACCTGCTTCATGCCTGGGAGTATGCGTCCAATCCACTGACAGCAAAGTTGAGACTGTCAAAAATCTACGGCCCCCTACTAGTGAGTTTCGCTGAGCGACCGGTTGTACTGGATCAAGACCCAAGTGACTTCAAGACCGAGGAGAGCGCCATTCTGGAGGTGGTTCTCGAGGAGTGTAACGGCCAATTCTGGGACAATTTGGGAATGTCGCAACTGCGAAGGGCCTTTAAAAGCAGGACCAGGCTCGAAAAGACAGCTATTGAAAGAGGGAGACTAAGTGTGACCGAGGCGGATGAACAGTCGGACGTGGAAAAGGAAGCTTGGTTTACATACCTCATTTGCCAGCAGAAAGAAACGGTCAGAGAACACGCTGGGGAAGGCGATAAGGGTCGGAAGGCATCGAAAGAAAGGAAAAAGTAAGTGAATTTTACAAAGTATGCGCCCACTATATGCAGTAGTGAGTAACTGTCAGTATCATTAGAATGGAAAACCACTTCCTACTGATATTGATATTAGTAACCATATTATGTGATGTAAATGTTAGAATGCGTTAGTCACACAGCAGGTGGGGATGTTCGATACTTCTCTGAGCAGTCGTGGTGTGGTCTAGGTGCTGATACGGCCGTGCCATCCACCTGCTCCCTCCCCCGCCTCCGGTCATCTCGACTCTATCTTGTCAACGAGCCCAGGTGGGGGAGGGCGAAAGAGTGTGGTAGATGCAGCGCAAGTTTACGCTCACTATAAACTAATCCACGCGCAAGTTACCTTGCCATCAAGCACACGGTGGACATCATCGGATGCTGCAGTCGAACTCTCGGGATGCACGAATACTGCTGACGCAAATGTGAGATCGGAGTTCAAGGAATGGCGATCTGTAGTTTCCCATCTCGCAGTCATCAGGGCCGCCCCTTGCCTATGTGCCCCTCGGTTTGCCTAGCACGCTTGACAAGCACTGCGTGCGCGCGTGTGATTCTATCTTCGTCTGGCCGACGCCGTGATGCCGTGATTGGTCGCAGACGTATGAAGCTGGGGCGCATACATTGTGGTTGTCACCTGTCTGGTGCGGACGTTTACTGCAACTGCTTCCTGAGCTGTGGGTACAGTCCATCGCCTCAGAAAAGCTCGTTCATCCAATTGTCTTTCCTGCCTTGGGCCTGGGAGTCTTTGATTAGCCGGCCAGCATACCTCAACGAGTGTTGACCACCAGTGGACACCAATCTTCCATCTTATGGGCCTCTGTCGTGGTCAGTCGATGAGGATTGACGGTTCTCCACCAAAAATGCACCATATTTTGACACCCACTTCTGGCATTCTTTCGGCTGCACAACTAATACGGATGCCCAATCGACTAAGGTAGATAAACGGCTTCATCGATCCTTCATCTGCCATGCTTTCAACTTCCTCATTCTCTTTTGAGACTCTACTATGGGACCTGAAGTCAGAAATCATGAATTGTGCACAAGATTAAGCTTTTCTTAGGCAGCAGGTAGCTTCTCTTCCATTTCAGAACCCATCGTCGTCATTCTTTCTCACAACCGAGAGGGCAGGAGGTATGCGGCTGGGTTTGGGTAGGACCGGTTAATAACAACCACCCGGAGTCCCTGTCATGTGTTCACAGTCTGTGCTGAACGCAGACTTGTTTGTCCGGGCATCACATGCATGCCCGTCCTCCCACTCATTGGGACTCCTCATGATGCATTTTTTCGTCCTCCCCCAATCACAGTTATTCATGTTTGCCAAAACTTTTACACTCGAATTCGGACTTGAAATTTGCTTCACTCTTTGAGCTGAGTATTTAACAGACTTGTAAGGCATATCATTCAGTCAGCGTACCATGCCTCCTATTAACGCACTTTCTACTGCCATCATGCAGGCTCTTTGCGAAGGAAGCCGCGAGAAAGCAGTGTGGGGTCACTGTGGAACATGACGCGAGCTCATGGGTGACGGAATCATTTGCCAGAGACTTGAAAAACGCAGTTCATGCCCCAACGGTGAGCTTCTTACCGTTCAAAGACCCAGTCTGTGGATGAATCATCAGTTCCGCTGCCTTTCTAATTCGACGGGAGGCTTTTTTTCATTCAAATTAACCTCCGAGAACATCCACTCAGCACTGGTATTTCTGCTGCCTCAGACAACGGTCACCAAGCCATCTACACGAAGGCAGAGAACTGTAGTCGATTTCCAGCCGATTTTCATGTTGTAATATTTGCATATTTTATAAAAAAAATGATTGATCCTTTAACTATAAACATTTTTCGGCCAGTGGATTGTCATCGTTCATATTGCATTTTCGTGGTTAGCGGTTTCGAGGCCAGTTGTAGCGGCCGAATAAGGAGGGGCTCCGGGAAACTCGGGAATACCTGAGTTGGGATGTGATGGCTTGCGGTCTTTCGTATGGGTATCTAAAGAAAACTCCTCTAAAAGTCGTGTAACTCCATCATACACACTAGCAAAGGAAAGGGGTGGAGTGGACATGATAGCGACGAATGAACTGATACAAAAGTTTATTAGTAAAACGTTAGAGACACGGTAGGAAAAATAAGATTGATGTGATCTATGACGTAAGGTAAAAATAGCGGTACAGACTACTAATCAACTAAGAGAGTACAACTTAATCCTACAATTCGATAAAACGTGAAACACGGGAAAAGGTTAGTTAATGGTGAAATAAACGAGGCGGAAAACGAATCGGCAGTTCAGGAATACGGAAACGATAAGGAAAAGGGGACTTAGCGGAGGGTGTGTCGACAGGCGTCAGCTCCGGTCCACGTGACCCAAATTCTGAAAAGGGGGGGCGGGAAGTAAAAAAAGGTCCGTTTAAAACAATCGGTCGTTACACAGTCACCCAAGCTGAGAACCAGCTCTTAAGGTTGTGGCTGCGACCAATCATTGGGGAACATGTTATCGATCGGTGCAAAGGAGGTTTGTAAGCTAGAGCGTGAAAAGCGCGGCACGAGCGGTCAGCTGGTATGGGAGGGGTGCTGTCGTTCTCGCTAGGCCGAGTAGAACGCCACGTGGCCATTCTGAAGTACGCCCACAACAAAACGCCATGCAGCTAACGCAAAAATTTTCATTGTTCTGTATTTGAGATCGATCTGTGTCCTTGGTCATTCATTCATTCATTTCGACCCAACTGTGAAGAACTCGGCGCCTCGGTGGGCTTCGAACCTACAACAGCAAAGGGGAAGGGGCTTTACTGCAGCGAATGCTCTAGCTAACTGAGCTACGAGGCCCTCACGGGCGACTTAAGTTTAATCACATTTAGGTCAAGTTACCCGCCCCGCCTACTTCGACGTACGGAATCCACCAAAGCTGCCACAGAGGTCTGACTATCCAAGCAGGATTCCCCTAGTAATTCATCTAGAATCCACCAGATGACTAACAGGCTCACGTAATTAATTGGTGCTTTTGCAGATTTTGAATAATTCATTCTGGCCGAACTGTGAAAAACCCGGCGCTTCGGCGGAATTCAAATACAAGGCAGTAAGGGAAAGGCTTACGTACAGCCAACGTTCTAGCCACCTACGTTACGAGGCCCCACGTGAGTTTATTCCCCTTTGGGTCAAGTTACCCTCCCAGCCTACTGCAACGTCTGGAATCCACCAAATCCGATACAGTAAGCTGACAGCCCTAGCAGGATTTTCTAAACAATCCATCTAGTGCGTTCGCATTGACTCAACTGCGAAAAACTCGTAGCCTCGGTAGAATTCAAATACAAAAGAGTAAGTGGAAGGTTTACGCACAGTCAACGCTCTATCCATCTGAGCTACAAAGCCAAAAAAACCTATTACTTACGCGGGATTAGCAGTCATCTGGTGGGTTCTAGATGGATTACTTTGAAAATCCTACCTAGCCAGTTAGCTTACTGTATCAGATTTGGTGGATTCCAGACGTTGCAGTAGGTTGGGAGGGTAACTTGACCCAAATGTGATTAAATTCACGTCTCCCGGTGGGGCCTCGTGACTCAGGTGACTAGAACGTAGGCTGTACTAAAGCCTTCCCCTTGATGTCGTGTGTTCAAATCCCACTGAGGCGGCGGATTTTTCACAGCTGGGTCAAAAGGAATTATTCAAAATCTGATAAAACACCCTTGAATAATATCAAAGAAGCCATAGAAAAAGCGGAAAACGTTAAGGGCCTATTTTTCAAAACTTGTTAACTACTTATTATCCAGATCAACCACATATAGAGTAAGAAAAAAACGATAATTTTGATGTCGTTTCTAAGCCAAAAAGGAAGCGTGCTCATGCGGAATGGGTGATGCAACCCATGAAATATTAAAAAATTTACAAAAAATCTCTGCTTAATCGAAAGTCCCTCAAATGCATTGAAGAAAACGCCCCATTTTTATGAGGACTCAATCAATTGCAAACACAGGGTACGTATTGGAAGCGTAGGAACTAGCAACACACTTATAGGTCGGATCTTATTTTGTAGTCGTACCTGCAGTAGACGAGTCCCCAGCGTAACCCCTAACCCCAACCCCTAACCTCAACCCCTAATTCTGACCCCTAACCCCAACTTCTAACCTCTTACAAGTACGACTACGAAATAAGATCTTGCCCACTTGTGAAAAGCGAAAAGGCCAAAAGCCCGGCAATTCATGTCAAGTTAGTAAACGTACTCCGTATACGTTCATATTATATGGCCATGCAAACAAATGAGTGGGCCAGTAACAGTGGAAGTCGGTTACACTAAAAACAATTCACGCAAAAGTCATTCTGTCCGCCCATCACACAGGTCAGTCTAGACCAAGTCGTTTTAGTTTGATAAACTACATAAACAGGCTTAAGGGGTTCATTTTTTGGAGACATCAGGCGTATTCTGACTACTGCTTTGTGGTGATGGTGGTGGTGGTGGTCTTGGAATTAGCAGTAGTGATAAGAGTAGTAGTAGTCGTACTGGCATTACCAGGAAAGCCAGCTCTTCCATTTGCAACCACCGTGTCATCCCATTACAGTTCCGGTTTAACTGGTAGGAAGTCTTCCTTCACATCGCGATAAGAACGTTGTCGGTACAGTTAAGACAACCCTTACCACCACCACCACCACCACCACCACCACCACCACCACCACCACCACCACCACCACCATCACCACCATATATATATGCATACAACACGCGACCAATTTAATGAAACCTGATGACAGAGACTGACATGAAAATTCGTGATCTTAATTGGTGGGAATTTCGCTCCCTCGTCCAGTCACTGCAAGTAAATATCTCCTTATCGTGCAGAAAATGAGTCCAGGCAAATTTATCAAACAAAATTTCCGTAAATTTGAGCAAAAATGGACGTTGCGATATGTTCGGACAATTCCTTATACTATTACCTGTCCTATATTTCGGTTGCATATATAGGCTTGTTTTTCTTTGAGGAGAGAGCAATTTACCCTCGAGAGTTCTACTAAAAGGAGCTTGTCACACTCGATGGCTGATTTTTTTGTCTGATGCTAACTGTGGTAATCAGTTTGCAAACATGCAGGTTATTTATAAGGAACCAATCGTTTTATCAATTTTAAATTCAGATTAGCAAGTCTGTTCAGTATTAACACTCTGGTAATCAACACTAGTGAAAATGCGATTCCCAGGTGGCATATCAAAAGAAAAGGAGGCGTTCACTGGGAGACCCGAACCGCCCCGCCCTCGTTGGCCGCGGAGATAGTCCTGATTGCCCGGCGCCGTGTGTGTCAGTAATCCTTAGTTTGCGTGGGCCGAAATTGTTTTGCTGCTTGGAAATTTTACCATTTGACATCAAAGTGACAATCACTGAGTAGACATTTTCAATTTTGGACATATGGATCATTACTTTTCGTGTGGTCTGTGTTTCGCATGCGCTTCATTTAAGAAGGGCACAAGCAAAACGTTGACGGTTTCACCGAAATATCAGTATTAATGTGGCCACTCTCTCGTGCATTCATAATCGTAGCAAAGAACCTAAAAGTGTGCAAAGATAGTGAAAACTGACGTAATATAAAGAGGAGAGCATGTTCTTCTGTTTGCGGTAGAAAAAAACCAGTACTTTTTTAAGGAACGCAAAAAAACGATCAAAAGCATAAACATTTGTTCTTAACTCCACCGCGCAAAAATATAAAGCACAAAGGTATACTGGCTGTACTAAAGCCTTCCCACTTACGACATGGGTTCGAATCCCACCGAGGCGCCGAGTTTTTCACAGTTGGGTCAATATGAATTATTCAAAATCTGCCAAAGCAACTATGAACAAAGATATCTGTCAACGGAGTGCAATATAAAAGCATTCCTTTACAAGGTGATCTAATAAAGAAAGGTTTCTAATTGACTGAAAGCATATTCGTTGTCGACATTTTTTGGGGAAGTTCATTTTTTCGATAATTGGTTTCGTGTTAAGGTTAGTCCTCATATGCAACCCAACCGACCATCTACTTGGAAAAGAACGCCCAGGTACCCACTATTTTAGTCAGGGCCTTCAAAAAGTATCTTATCTTAATGACTTAATGATACGCAGCAGCCGATTCTCTCAGCTGTAAGAAGTTTCATACTTATAAAGTAATTTCAAAATACTCTGTCTCTGATATGCTTATAAGGGGAACTTTCATGTAACTGGTGCAGGTACAGGAGACAGCCACGAAGGTTTGCAAAGACTACCTCGATCCAGCAACTATGGGGACGGTGGAATGCGGATAATAGGGTACCGCAGGGATGTCGTTAATCGAGCACGAAACTTTCGTCCTACTTCTGACATGTCCGGGCTGAGGAGGAAAACAACGAGTCTATGAAGAAATCTCTGCAGCGCCTGGTTCTCAGGACGGTTAATTGGAAGGCGAATATCCCAGGCTGGTGAAACACGTAGAGTAGGCCGAAGCCAAGGCCTAACTGGCATATGATCAAAATAATAACAAAATAACACTTACTTAAATGAATGCAGTAATAAGTCGTGTATGTTATTAGGTCTCTCCTAGTGCAAGCCATACCCTTACCATGGCTATAGAACCCTAGTCAGTGTAGGTTCTGGACCATGGGATGTGGTGGTACGTGTAGGGGTAGGGTTTTGGCGTCTAGACCACCTGGTCTCTCCCCCACATCTGTCTTGGTACGGAGCCCAGGTGGAGGAGGAGGGGGGGGGCGAAGAAGTGCTCTAGAAGCAGCGTAACCTACTATCGCAATGAATTAACTTACGTGCAAGTCATCGTCACTCCTCTCAACCTAGTGTTGGACACCTAGTGGACATCGTCACCAACGACGACCGAGCTCTCTTGCCTCATGGCCCAAGCAGATTGTGGGCTATCAGGTCTGATTCAGTCGCACTGTGCTAGTTCGGCATGGAATCTTGACGACTGCCACTCATATGGGTGGTACAGGGTGCTTAGTGCCACATCAGTCACCGAGGCCACTCTCGGTACAACTCGGTCGATAGACTCGGACAAACCCTTGCAGCATGAGAGAGGGGGAGGAGAGAGGAGAAAAGCGGATGCTGAAGAGCTTTCTCTCCTGACAATTAGCTCACTCCTCACCACAATAAATCTGTCGTGCTATGCACCATGGTTTGAGAGTTGTCAGACGAAGGGCAAACTGACCCGTAATCTGGGACGAGGGTAAAACTGCAGCGGCTGCTGATCGACGTGACCCTCGTAGTACTTCTCACCTCTGTGCGGTCCGAATCCCCATGTGAGTGACGTTGGTCGCATGCTTCACGTTACAGCGGCCATTGCGATGATTATCAACTTCGGTCCACTTAATCCGGACATCCTGATAACGTAGAATAGGGGGTGACCCAGCCTAGACTGAACATCTACTTTCTTCATCGAAAACAACTAAACCGGCTTTTAAACTATTACAACGGTCTAACAGTCGTAATTTTGAGAATTGGCGACTGCAGAATGCAGGATGAGGAGGAGGCTGAGAAAAATGAAGAAAGGGGTGAGAATGGTAGGGAGGGGGCCGCCGAAAAGCGTGAAGATGGAGTGCTCAGCGATAAATCTTTACCAGATGCTTGCATTTTCGCGTGAATAGTCCGTGTGCCGCGGGCGGTTATTGATTTTCGGTGCTGGCTACCACCCTGTAGGAGGCGGCTCAAAATAACCCTTGTTCGCCAGAATGCATCGGTCACCTTTCTTCTCTCAGTCCCCGCTAGACGTGGAGTCTTGCAGGGCTCACCTAGACACAAATGAGGCCAATCGACGGTGAGTAATCTCGGGCCCTTGCGTCCTTCGCCATTTCGAAAAAGTGGTTGCGCCCAGCCTATACACGCCGCGAGCCGAGCAACGCATAATCACATATCAACTAATCAATAATTATCACGTGCATCTACGAGGTACGCACAAGGCGCACGTGTATCTGAAAGTGGATTGGCATCCGACAGGGAACGATGCAAAAGCAGCGAGAGTAAATAATGAATCAGCACTACACAAGTCCGGCTTATCGCTCAGAAAACAGGGGATTTAATTCTTCCAATGTGAAAAAACAACAGAACGCAAGGGATGTCTTCATTCCACCCTCAAAAGCCCTACTAGATCCCCTCCCAAGTCGGCCGACACCTGATAATCCCGACCAGCGGGTAATTGGCCGCATAGATCGACCGGCATTGAAACTTTACTTGCACATTCTCGCTAGCAGTGACTCAGGAGACAGATCGGATGATGCAATAGCACAGTCGGTGTCCAGTTCAACTCAGCCACCAAAAAACTATCGTGGAAAGCTGCTAAAAAAGAGGTCTGCACGAAAATTGGGAGAGAAAGTGGTCACCCCCTCAAAACATCCACAATCAGATAGAACGGAACTTCAGGATAGCTTTGACGATGGCAGTGTCGAATCGGACGGTTCCGAATTCAACAAAATTCTCGAATGTGGTCTGAATGAAGAGATACGTTACGGCCTGGTAGAACGCAGGCTGACTCTTGCCGACTTTCGTCCCTTGGAGGCTCCTTTCGTGCCGGAACTGATAAAAATGCTGGTGAATTCCACCGAGGCGGACTGTCATGCCTCTGACTGGGAGCCGATATTCGCAACGTACCAAAACCTCCGTGAGACAGCTGACATGCATGCCTGTCTCCTTCTGCAGAACTGGAACCACCAGAATCACCTGAAACGCCAAATTACAGCTCTCTCCTTACCCATGAAGATAGCTGTCCTGCGAAGTATACTGTCGGGGTTTAAGCAAAAACCCCTGCATTTCAGTCGACGTCTGCTGATGGATATAATTCAGAGGCCGCTGTTCGATCAGTTTCTCCGTCCCAATCCAAATATGAAGTCTATCGTCAAACACACAGCCCTGCCCTGTAATCGCACCACCATGGACACCTTAGCCTTCCTAATGCTCCACCTGCTTCATGCCTGGGAGTATGCATCCAATCCACTGACAGCAAAGTTGAGGCTTGCAAAAATTTACGGTCCCCTGTTGGTGAGCTTTGCTGAACGACCAGTAGTGTTGGATCAAGATCCGAGTGACTACAAAACCGAAGAGGGCGCCATTTTGGAGGTGGTTCTCGAGGTATGCAACGGTCAGTTCTGGGATAATCTGAGTATGCTGCAGCTAAGACGCGCCTTCACAAGCAGGACCAGACTAGAGAGGACCCGATCGAAAAAGGGGAAGCTAGATCTCGGAGAGGACGATTTCGGAGACAGGCCCGAAAGCCGTTTGGATGAATTTGAGGATTCAGACTATGAAAATGAAGCCTGGTTCTCCTATCTCTTCCCAAAACCAAAAAGCGTCGCTAAGGAAGAAAGCAAGATGGACGGAGAGCCAGCCAAAGCTACAACTCAGTAAGTTTATTATTACAGTTTCCCATAGAAATCGGCGTTTTATGATCTGGTTAGAACATTAGGAAAGGATGTGCATAAAACTACTGATAATCGCTGAAAGCCTAACTGTACGGCGGACTAACACCGCCCTGAGAACTTACTGATGACTTTCACTTGAGTTAAGCTATGACGGATATGGTCGGGCTGAACTTACCCACTGTTCCATCTTCAAGACAAGATAAAGGAGTTTGGGGTTGGGCAAACACACGTCGGGGACACCGATTAGGTCTGCTTAAGGCTTATTTTTCAACGTTAATGCTCTTTGGCTTTAAAAAGAAATGTATGACCAGCTTGCGCCGAGAACGAATACCAGTCCACAGGCTGCTAGTGCTCTGAAGAAAAAAAACGTCCCTTCCAATTTAAGGCTGTCAGGACTAAAGAGAGCGCCAGCCGGCCAAAGGTCAGAATTTAGCCCCAAAGTATTTGGGCACATTAGTGCTCGTCACACTCCTACCGGCTCCTGCATCATTTGCATGAGGCAAACTTCAGTGAGCGTTTGGCATCACTCATCCGAGTGATTTACCATACTGGCAACACTGAGAAAAAGCTACTTCGGTCTAGTACATTGGTCTTTCTCCTACCTCTTAATTGGCAATCTTCTATGCTTCGAGTTCGAGCACATAAAAATGATCTAAAAACCTTTCGGCTTCTTTTAGGTGGGAAGGGGTGGTTAGAGGGGAAGAATTAACCGCGAATGTGCGTCGGATTACCCTCGTTGTCCTCGTCATCCCGTATGACGTAGCGATGGTAAGTGCGGGTTTGTCGCCCGGAGGCCTTTAAGGTCGCATTAAGAAGGCGACGCTGTAGTCTAATTCTCCATCGTCCGGTCACTCCAAAATTCCCCATGAAGAACTGATTATCCTGTAGCGGGCAGCCATCATGACCGGTCTGGCGTCACTGTTAAAGACCTCGCTGTCTCAAGGTCATTCAGGCCTTTGTAGTGAGCCGATCCAGACGCGCTGACTTAAAGTCACACGACCGACAGCTCGGACATACCCGCGTCCGCACAGCCGCAGCCCCCCATGCGGCCACTTGAACGCACCTCCCCCCTGCAACCGCAACCTAAGCCACTGGGACACCACCCTTCGGCAAATGCAACACACACCGATTGGAGACCACATGAGCTTTTCCCACGAGCCTATAAAAGCGGCTGCCTCATTGTCGCAGGGGGCTCTCAGGCATGACTGGACGCAGGCAACACCAGCGCTGGCTTCGTCAGTGGCCACTGTCGCCTGAGAGGACAACTCCGTGTTCTGTGCACAATAAACCCCTCATTCGGGTGCCTTCCATCTTCTCCCTCATATCTGAGATTTGACTTGCTAATTGTAGATCACAGACTGCACACATTCTCACTGCTGTGCTGCTACAATCAGACCAACTGGCGACCCTACAAGACATCACCTCTAATACAACGTAGTAGAGTTAGGCACGTAAGATTTCTTATTGTAAAGAGTGCGCTAGTTTGCCGTGGTGATGGTTTCCCCGATGCCAGGCAATGTAAAAGCCTCTCAACCAATTGCTGATAAAAGTACGTGCGGTGGCTAACAAAGCTAAACAGTCTATCTGCGCGTTCCACACACAAACTGGTCCTCACTTTAGGATTTATTAAAGGTGTCGAATCATTTTTAATTTATAAAACATCTGTAGCTGGGTTTAGGCCTCATTTTGATTTACTCGAGAGACTGTCAGTATCATCGAATATCGGTCAAAAACGGACGGTCTGGCGTCTCTTACCGGGTACTCTGTACAGTTTCGCCATTGTATATACTCTATATATGTCCCGATCTGCGGGTAGATACCCGTCAGTGGGTTATTATTTTATCAGTTTAAATCCTCGGGGACGTCTTTTATCCCTAATTAGCATTCTTTTCTCAGAACGAATATGACCTGCTTAAACAAACATTCCTTGACTGAATTCTACACAGGAGTATGCCAAAACACAAGCAAGAGCGAACGAACTGATACCTGATGTAAGCGAGGATAGCGTTTGAGCACATTCCCCCACCGTGGCACAGTCACTCGCTGGACCAAAGTGGTAAGGAGGGCGCAAACGCGTGATATGTGTAAAGTCAGTGTACTCGCACCCACTAAAGTTTTTGTGTATAACTAAACATATGGTATCAATCAGTGAGGCTGCAGAACCAAAGATCGCCCATAGCTGATTAGGTGGTGAAGAAACGCAGTCATAAGTTCCAGTGGCTACTGGTTGTCAGCTGACATTTCATAAGCGCCCAGTTATTGCACTGGACTATTCGGACAGCTGGTGGGAGATAACTCAACGCAAATGCATATCCACCTGATTAAACTGGTATGAGGTCTCGCTTTGGTTAGTCAAAGCAGAGGATATACGTTGAGCGCAAGCCCGAGAAACTGATTGTTTTAAGAAGACTCGTATCTTTCAATTTATTCAACGGCCAATGGAATTGTGACAACGGTAGTGTCCCTTAAACCACCGTCAGATATTAAAAAACATGGCAGTGATCGAAATCAACCAATATTTTTACTCCCTTTTAGAACTACTTCACATTGCGTAGAAGGTACTCCATGGGTGCATGATTTTTTAAATATTGTCAGGTTTTCTTGAACTTAAATAACAGAAAAATTACGCCTGTTGCGGCAAAAATTAAAAATGTTTTCATCTCTGACTGGGTTTTCGGTTAAAAATGACAATCTCATGCCTCTTATCAATTACTATGTCCAGTTCCGGTTTTGCACATTATCTAAAAATATCCCCGTCTGCGGGCTGATACACGCCGACAGGTTATCATTTCACAGTTTAAATCGTCGGAGATGTCTTATATTCCTTATTGGCATTCTTTTCTCAGAGCGAATATAACCTGCGTACACAGACATTCCTAAATCACCTTTCACACAGAAGAATACTAAATCCCTCTGCTCTTGTAATTAAATTATAATAGCCAGTTAGATTCCACCGGACATTTAGAGTTCAGAAGATCAAAGACTTGCTTTATTAAAGGATACTGTTTTTCGTTCACTCATTTTGCTTAACAGTCGTTCCCTAAAATACGCTTCTCTCCATAAGTCAACTTTTATGTACATTTTTAGGGTTTCAGTGTCTCGGTAACCTTTTTTTGCCTCGCAATATTTTAGAAAATGGACTTTTAGGCACTTTCGTTCCCAGGAAAAGGACAGATTGTCTGGCAAACGCTTGTATCAACGCTCTTTGTTAAACTTAAAAATGGGCTATCTGATGGATGTTGCTTTAAAAGTTTGCTCTTCTGATGTCTCTTCCGCTCAAACCAGAGAATGTCAGTGTGCCATTTACAGTCGTCCGCACAGAATTGAGAAGTTGACCCGACTGCATATTTTGACTTCGGAAGAACTAATGACCGAGCGCAGATAACTTTTATTCCCATCTATAAATGAAGGGTCCAGGATACAGGTCAAAAGACGGTTGCATCTCAATAGTAGTGAAAATCCGATTCCCAGGTGGCATATCAAAAGACGAGGGGGCGTTCACCGGGAGGGATTTATTTGAGATCCGACGTTTCGGGTAGTTTATCCGTCTACCCATCTTCAGGGACTGAGAGGTCCTGTGCACAGCACTCCTTATTATGGCGTCCTTTGTCCAATGCGTGATCCGCCAATGCCGCCTGTGTGGCTGCATCCAACCCGCATGTCACCGTGACCTGAATCGCCCCCGTCGGCCGCGGTGATGACTGACGGCCCCGATTGTCCCGCGCCGTGACTGTCTCCGCTAAGAAGGTTCGTAAAGTCAGATAGGGGGGAGGCAAATTGATGTGGCGGTTGACAGAGCGGTCGGTGGACATCCAGGCTTCTTGCACTTGCCTTGCTGTGTGATCGCTGCCCCGGCCCACAATCTCAACGGCGTCAAAGTTGAAAATGTGTACCATTTGCGCGGCATGGGTTGCTACCTCCAACTTTGGGTCCAACCTTCGCACGGCCAGTTTATGATCGTGCATTCGCGTTTGCAGCCGTCGGCCGGTTTCCCCAACGTACTCGCACCTTCCGCAGCTGCATTGAAGTCCGTAGACAACGGCCGACATCTACTGCTTAGGGATCGGATCTTTCGGCCGCATCACTTGTCGGCGGATTGTTGAGTCAGGCCTATGGGCAATACCTATTCCGAGTGGCGCGGGTGATCGGGCCACGACTTCGGAGACCCCTTCAATGTACGGAATGCTCCGCCACGAGTTTGGCTGACTGTGCTCTTCATTCCGTTTCTTTGGCTGCCTCCGGCTTCGTTCAATGAATGCCCGCGGATAGCCATTGGCTCTGAAGAGTTCTCGGAGGAGCTTTATCTCATCCAGTTTGGCGTCTGGCGTGCCGCAATGAGTTTCCACCCGTCGGTAGAGCGTGCGGACACAGCTTCGTTTGTGTTGTGGCGGGTGGTTGCTGTGGTAGCTGAGAAGTTGCAGCGTGTTCGTCGGTTTTCTGTAGACCGACGTTGCTAGTTCGCCATTTGATTGGCGGCAGACGAGAACATCCAAAAATGGAAGTTTGTCCTCTACTTCCTCTTCCATCGTGAACTGTAGATCGGGCATTATTGAGTTCAGTACTTCCGCATAGTAGTTGATTTTATCCTGGTCTATGATCACGAAGGTGTCGTCAACGTAGCGTGCCCAAAACTTGAGTTTGCACTCCTCGAATAGTCGTCTCTCGAGTTTTTTGTAGAACCGCCACGGCAATGAGTCCGGAGATTGGTGAACCCATTGGTGAAAGGTGCGTCCTTCTACTCTAATGAATGTCTGTACGATCTGGTCCGATCTCCTCAACTGCCTCCTTAGCTGCATTCTTTTTCTCTCTCCTCTTCCCCCAACCCACGCAGGATGGTGTTTGCGCTTGTTTGTTTTGCGTGGCTGGTCACCTGTTTGTTTGGTTTCTGTCCCCCCCCCCCCCCTCAGAAATTCCATGCGCTGGGTAGACAGGTGACGGGGGAGAGAGGTGTGCCTATCCTCTTCTAATCGTATCCACAAACCAGGCCACCTAAATAATGAAGTATGTGTAAAACCAAACGAAATTCCTTATAACTCGGGCGTGAACGGAACTCATGGGCAAATTGGATTTTGTCGATTTTACTTAATTTACCCCTTTAATCCTTCTTTTGCGTCTACGTTAGTAATCTTAAAAATTATTAATGTTTCCGAAATTTGAAAGAGCCCATCATAGGAACAGTCTTCTCTCTTTTCGGACCTCTTATATGCTTCCTTGCTCTGAAAAGGCAAGTGGCCAGGGGTTCGCGTCTCCTTTTTGATGGTATACTAAACGTAAGTCAGCTGACTTATGAAGCAGTCATGAAATCGCGCGAAATGTCTCAAAACATGAAAACCGGCCGAAATGCCTTCAACCTACAATAGGTGAGCTAACTCATGAAACGTCAACCGAAATTCCGAAATGCGTTCCCGTTTCGAAACCATTAATTAAGTAGGGTTATAAGACTACAACTCCTGCAGCATAATTCGATAATAATTCAGTTACCGCAGGATGCCGGCTTTCGAAATAACTTCTTTCCGCTATATGCAAAAAGTGTACTCTGCGAAAAATGACTACTTATGTAGCAGTCTGTCAAGCCTGACTGACTGTCAGGCTTCGCCACCGGTTGTCCAAGAAAACGCGCACCCCTTTGACTCTCAACCACAACACAGACCCTTCTATTAAGCTACGAGTTGCACTCTAACTCAGTAATGACAGACCTCCTTGCATGATAGAAGAACCAGTAACTCCGATATGGGGTCTCGTATAATCAATCACTTCTGGGTGCATACAGTAGATGTGCTAACTCATGAAATGTCAACCAAAATCTCGAAATTCGTTCTCGTTTCGAAAAGAGTAATTAAGTAGTGCTGTAAAACTAATCATGCTGCAGCACAAATCTATAATGATCCAGTTACCTCAGGGTGTCGGCTTTCGAAAGAACTTATTTTCGGCTGCATGCAAGATCTATACTCTGCAAAGAATGACTACTTATGTAGCATGCCATTTTCTCATTGCTTTTCGAGGACCTTTAAAATTCAATTATATTTCATGGACACCAGGCATAAAATCTTCATCCTTTTGCTTATTCTTTATAACATTATTTCTTATTTGGATTTTATACTCGAAGGAAGTATATAGTTCGGTTTTAAAACGTCTCTGATTGTGGGATTTTTTAATACCGTGAAATGACCGTTTATAAGACGTCATGTCTCTGCATTCACTAATGTGACTTGTAAAGTTAACAATGTGGCTCAAATCCCCTACGAAATTTTATGAAATCCATATGGTCTCCTATTAATACCGTAGAGAAATGCATGGTTTTTCGAACGCGGGGAATATACGACCTGTAGTTTAAAAACCCTGAATGTGAGTGTAACGGCAGGTGGGGTTCGAAATTAATCGGAATTGGAAACTTTTTTGAACTTAAATTGTACTCCTCCTTACTGTATAAATTTGGAAGAAAACATAATTTTCCACCGAAAGGGTGAATGAATGAATATTTTTATGCATGTTTTTCATGAAATATAATGAAATTTTTAAGGGATTCGAACATCAATGAGAAAATTGCAGGTTACCAAAGTAGTCACTTCTGCAGTGCACAGTTCTTGCATACAGTCGGAAAGACGTTCATTCGAAATCCGGCATCCTGAGATGACTGGATTATTATAGAATTATGCTGCAAAATAATCAGTTTTACAACTCTACGTAACTTATCTTTTCGAAACGGGGACGAATTGCGAAATTTCGGGTGATATTTCATGAGTTAGCCCACAATGACATTTTTGACGAAAGGTAAAAATGCCACAAACATGAAAGTCGTGTTAAATGAGCAGAATTACATTATACTCGTTAATAAAAAGGATCGGATAAAACACAGAGTCTATAAAATCCTGAGTCTTTCCTGAGAACACGGAAACCGACCAATATGCGCCCATCAAAAAACCCAATTGCTAATGGAAGTTCTGAAATGGATACAATGCTGATTATTATTATTATTATTATCAGAAAGTCGAAAGTGCTATAAACACTAAATTCGTGTCACATCAGTTAACTCCATATGCAGAAGTATGCAAAGTATGTTTATAAAAACGTCTGAATAGGTAAAATAGAATAGTCACTTAACACATCTGTATTTCCGACTTACCAGCTAAAATTTCAGTTAGCTTTTCAAACAGATAAGGACCGTTTTGGCAAGCATCTGACAGATTCCACAAATATGGAATCTATCTTTATGGGCGGCCGATCGAAAACTCTGGAGGTTATGAAGTATTCAGTGATATTTCAAGGCCGACCTGAAACTCAAAATAATCCAGAACAAAGCAAAATTGCAAACTTATTTAATTAAGGACAGGTTCTCTTTATGTACAGAAAGTGGTATGTCCGCGATTTATCACTGGCCGGCCTAGCGACATGTGCGCTTATGAAAACGTCTGCTCCCATGACGCCTCTATCAAAGAAATCTAGTTTTATCATACTTGCCTTATTGAAACGCATGTCAATCAATTCAAAGACATAAGTGATACCACGAATCCTCGGAAAACCATGTTGAAATCCATACTAGACAGAAGGCTGCTGACAAACCACCATACCTAGAAATACATCAGTTCTGAAGGGATATTTACATGTAAGCTTCACTAACAGACTATTTTCAGAGGTTATTCTCTTTGTGCAGACATAATTGTCCAGTGTATTGCATGCGCGAGCTTTCTCTGCATCAAACGTGAAGTTACCTAAATTAAAACCCTCCAAGAAATTCTTAAAATTTTTCGCTTTTTTTAAAAAACCCGTTATTTCTAAACAACTTAATACTAACTTTACTTTTCTTTTATGTTTTAGTCCCCTCAAAGTTGTTGTTTATTGACATATATACTGGGTCCACGCATCGGTGTAGTTTTGCGATTGACTAACAATCATTCGTAAACTGTGACACCTTTCATGAGTTAGTTAACGCATCGTGATTTCTTTTCACAGGCCAAATTCGGAATTCAATCTGTACACTGACTGTCGACTTCTGGCTCGGTTGAAAATAGAGGAGGAGAAACGTAAGGAATCCGAGGAAGAAACGCTGGAACGCTACAAGGAAGTCCTGGGACGGGAACTGCATGGAACGATTCTTGAAACGACGAAACCCCGGGTCAAGTTTCCCAATCGTTTGATGAAGCAGGGTCGGTTCCGTAACCTCTATGTTGCACGCAGGCTGCGGAGTGTTCAGGAGATTCTGCTCGACGTTCGTCATTCGAGCCGAATGTTAAGATACCAACCAGATCCACACTATCGAACGGTGCCCAGTCGAGTGAGAACTTCCCTTTTCGTGCCAAACGATTTGCCAAAAGTCAAAGTAAACTCCCTGTTTGGATGAGGTATCGACGCCTCCATAAGCGGCCTACCTTCTTAAAACTCACAAATAACGCCTACTTACAAATAAATAGTAGAAGAACTATTTTTCTTTCCGAAGTTGTGATGATGGAGAGTTTGAAGAGGCAGCTGGCGAATTCAAGACATAGCGTCGAAAAACATAAAATAGAAACATGCGATCGGCAAGCGAGCTGATTTACCGCCTGTGAACAGGTATTAGAAGAACCACAACCTCAACGACGCGCATGAAGTGCCGGACTTGAGGGCTGCAGGCAGTAATGCATAAGACCGAACAAAAGCAGACATAAATTGTTACTTTCGTCATGCGTTTTAGCTTATCCAAGGGAGGTGGTGAATCAAATATTCTAAATTCCACTACCACTTCCACATCTGGAAAAACACTTTACAATGGGTTTAGTTGATTACTTAGCCAGTTGCTTCAGCACTTTATGCATGGACCATGTTCCGCTGAGCACGGCCTGGTTGTGAAATGAAATACGGACATCCGTGACCAACAGTTCTCCTTTGCCAGAGAACTTCTATCCGCTTGACTGTCCGCATCACATCTTTAGTGAGTCGACGGTCCCTCTAAGGCTCTCAGAAGCGGTCGTCCGAGGTAGTCGCCTCAGTTTGACTGAGAAGACCCGGATACCGATTGGGACTGGGACGCTGTTCCACAAACGCAGGCTGAGTAGACTGAGGTACGGAATGGGCCTGAGGCTGATATTAAAGAGGGTAACGAAAACCTGCCTGGCTTTTCTCGAAGGAACAGGAGTCATTAGTTGTGCAATTTCCGTGGGCATAAATCGCACCACAGTAGTAGAGTGATACAGCCTTCGGCGGGGTGTATGCTTGAAGGCACTCCTGAACGAGATGAGGCAAAGTAGGGGAAACTTTCCTGAGACACATAACACAACCGCATCTAGTTAATGCCGGTCAACAAGCAGTGCCACAAACCTCTCAGGAAACAGACCTCTAAGTTGATCTATAGCGTCGACAATGAAAACTTAGGTAAAAATGGGCAGTAGAAAAGCAACACATGAAACGGATATCCTGTGCCTTTCGCAAGCCCCGTCCGTGTACATCCCCAAACGACTGCCCCCCCCCCCGAGTGGTTGTCGGGTATATGTAATTCATTAGTAAAATTTTGTTGAATGCGTCGACAGCATTCTTCCCTAAAGGCTGCGAGCACGGAGAGTCCGGATGAAGTAGC